TGTACATGTTTTGTATCGTTTGAGTCTACGTGCTTTGGCTGCGAGTTTTTGTTTTAGTGTATCGATGTATTCTGTAATGTGTGTGTTGTGATGTTCATGTTTTGTGTGTGTTTTAATTTTCTTGAAAATGTTTTTGAGTTGTTTCTTTAATTTGGGTGTTATGTTGTTTTTAGTGTATTGTGTCAGCCTGCCTAATTGCTGTCTAATGTCATTTGTGTTTCTATTCTTCTTTGCTAAGCAGGTTTGTGATAGAATTGCGTTTTGTGGGTATCTGCGATTGTATTTTCAATCCAAGGTGTGACACTACTGTGACTGCCCCAGCATAAACTAATGTATGAATGTCTGAGGATATAGAAATTAAATGAACGTAGTGTGGTAGTAAGTGTGTGTTTACATAATTTAGTGTTTTTCCTACTACATATATTAGACGTGTTTACTTTTGATATTCGTGGTCTTTGTGTGGGATCTGAACCTGTATATTTAGTGAGTGTTTCCTGAAATATAAGTGAGCGCGTATTAATTAAATCAATGTCTATGTTATCGATAGTGGATGAGGAAGTGTCTGTAGTATCATTAATGGTAGTTGTTCTGTGTGTGCTATTATCATCGCTCGTTGCTGGATTATCCTGACAGGTTACGTGGTCTTCATTAACGTTGAATATTTCTGTCTGTTGATGTATTTGATCAGCAACCTGTTGTTTGATAAGTTCAAGTGTTGTTTGTAGGATAACGTCGTTGCGTATAATTGTTCTTTTTGATCAACAACCCTTTGTTCGGTGACAGTGAGGTAAGGATATTGTTGTGTGAATCTATGGTGTAGTTGTTGTCTGTACGCTGTCATGTTTGTTTCGAGTCTTGTGATGATATAGTAAGTACGAATGATAAATTTGTTCATTTTCACCGTCCATTTCATCCGTTGGCGTGATTTTCCTGTGTTTGTGGTCTACGGATGCATTGCCACAGAAACACCAAGGCTAGGTTGGTTCCTCACAACTGTCGAGGGCATTGCAGTAGCCATGCTTGGGCCAGCACTGTTTTTTCCACTGGTAACCAAGGGAGACTGTGGCCTATTTTTCGAACGTGTGCCTTTGTCTAACCCACGAATGTGGACATTGTTATTAATGCTATTATTATGAGTTCTATGACAATAATGGATATATTTATAAGCAATTTATTAGATTAAGAATGTAATCATTAATGGGAATTCAGTTTAGTTTGATATCATCATGTCTTATTTATTTAAATTATTAAAAAATGAAATTATATTTTATTGATGAGATATATAGAGCTTTAACCTTTCATAATGTATTTTAATAAGGAAATTATCTCAAACTGACAATTTCCCTATTATAAAAAGAATACAATTATTTACTTTTCCAATTTTATTTTATTTTAATATTGAAATGATAAATATTTTTCTACTTATCAATACCATTTGTGTATTTTAAATACATATTTTCCGTTAGAAACGCATTTATATATTCTATAAAGAGTGGCTCAAAAGTCAGTTAACTATTTTAAGTACTAAATTAAGTAAAAGAATACAATTGATTCAATTGTATTTTTTTTTTTTTTTAATTTTTCACTAATTCTGGCAAAAGGAGCACAGTACATCTGTTCTAAATCCAATTTACAATCAATATTCACAAGTACACCTGCAATACATAAAACAAAAGACAGTTAACTGAATTTTGGGCCACCCTATGTGCGTTTATTGTTTTCAATATTAAATATAAGGCATTCATTGTTTAATGTTTAAAATATAAAAGGCATTTGTGTATTCCGAAATAGATCTTTATCAATTTGCAACAGAGATGTATTTATTTAATTAAATATAAAACTATATTTTACCTTTGTTTTCTACGTTGAAAAGATCTTGAGAAAATCTTATAGCGCATGCGCAGATTACATTTTTGACTTTATCGTCTGCTTCTGATTCTTCGATTGGAGTGTTGCCAGATGTTCCGGTTTTTCCGGGATTATTCAATATTTTTTCCGACTGCCACCTAGCGACAATGAAACTTTATTTAAAAAAAAAATGTTTTTACAATGAAGTATATTTTTATTTTTTTCACATTTTAATGTAATTCTGTCACTAGTAGAGTAAAAATACGCATCCCGCATGTCATGAAATTCAAACGTTCCAGTATCTTTCGGGAAGAACTCATTTTATATAGCGACTCTTGTCTTACCAAAAGACAAAGCTTGCGTTTCTATTTTAAAAAAAATTATTTAAAAATTGATAAAAATTCGAAAATAATAATTTATTTTAATTGATTAAAAAATATATAGAGAGAGAAAAAGCTTTTAAAAATTTCAACAAATTCTATTAGAAGACAGATGACCTATCTGTTTAGCGTTTGATTTGCTTCCAAAATATTTTAAACTTTCTATTATTAATATTTATAACATTTAAATAATTGCAAATAATATAGCATAAATGTGCTATTTTACTGTATTAAATGAATTAGAAAGTCATATTAAGGATGAATTAACTTATAATTAACTCTGAACTTTGTATAAAGATATTCTTTTAATGATTCGTCCGCATGTCTGTACGTATTCTTCATTTCTGTTTTGAAAACCGTTATAATCTTATATAATTATAATATTTCCAGGCAAAATATCAACAATCGAATAAAAATATCACGTTTGTTTTGCTATTTTTTCTTCTAATTTTATTATAAATTTTCAATCGAATTACTATTAAAATTCTTTTATTGTTGTGACGAAAAGAGGAAAAAAACTGTAACTCTATATTTTACTGTATAACATTCTTTGAACGGTTGCTACTTCTAAACAGATTTAAATAAAAACTTAGAATATTTTAGATGTTATTAAATATAACCTTTTAAAATATGTTATTTTATCGATTATCCGTACATAGATAAAATATATATAAATTGATCCAAAAATCAATATTTATGGATAGTTTCAAACATGTATAATTTTCAGAAAAGATAGGAAGGATTTATAAATAACAGGTAAAAACTAGTACGTGTTTTTAGCGACTTTTGATTTAACTTAAAAATTATCAAACTTTTGTGATATTTTTAAAATTATAATATATTCATGCAATCGTTATGATTATCCTTATTAATTTTTTTATATTTTTATAATTTATAAGCTAAATGCATAATTTTTTTTAAAATTAAGCGAACTCCACTTCCCTTCTTTTAAAGATGGCGTCTGGGACTATAGTCTCCATTTTTATAGGAAGAGTAAGCGAAGAAAATTAAATATAATGTAGGATAATTATTCCTTAAAATGTAAAACAGTCAAGCATAGAAAAATATATTTATATTTTATATTGTAAAGCCGAATCGCATACTCGCTGATTACTTAGAATGAACTGCGCAATAGCGTAACTTCGCATTGTATTTATGTTACGCTTTCAATAATGAAACAGCGTATCCATTTTTACGTTTGTGATGAATATATAAAAAAACTTTTCTACATTTCGACGGGAATCGTTTATTATTAATACTGAATTATAAGAAATGTTCATGTGATTCCACGTCGCAAGATCACAACATCGCCGCAACGCGATGCGACGACCCCACGTCGATACTGAAAACTTTACACGTATTGAAAAATTGACCTAAATTGAATGAAATTTTTAAAATAAAATAATTATTATCGACAAGTTTAAATTAATATTTATAAGAGTATAATTATTAATAAAGTTTATATTATCGAATTATTTTTCAATTTGTTAAAAAAAACTTTAATTATTTAAAATTACGCAATAAATAATTATATAGTGTTATAATTTTTATTTTTAATATTAAAAAATGAATAGTAAATTCACTTCAGTACGAAAAATTTAAATGTAATAAAAAATAAAAATAATAATAATAATTGTATATATGCAAATGAGCACGAGCGTTGCAACGTAACCGTTGAAGGCGTGACGTCAGTTTCTTGGCTGCGACGGCTACACAACGTGTTTTTTTCTCTAACCGGATCCAATCGGTATTACATTTATCATCATCAAACCATTAAGATGCTGCGTGTGTTACTGACTATTTCGTTTCTTACTTTTTCCAGAGTTTCGACCGAACCTGGAAATCTAACTCTAGTAAACAGCATGGAGGAAAATGGAGTTGTTCCTGATGTTCTCGACACCGCCCCACGTTATATAGCCGAGGTAAGGTCAATTCACTTTCATCATACGCTATAAAATAATTAAATTTAAATATTACTAAAGTTCTTCGATGCTTTAAAGCCTTCGTTATGCATTAAGCTAAAGAATCTAAGCAGAAATGGCTGCTACATGTGTAAATGATATATTTTTACATTAATAAGGCGACGTGAATTGCAAATTTTATGCTTTTTAATTACATAATTAATGTGTCTGTCGATTGCATTTATTAGAGAGTCGACGAATCATTCTTCCATGCTTAATTTTTAATATATATTTCATTCTTTTACAAATTGTAGAGAAAACGTTATCTGAAACGTATCTAAGGGTCATTGCTGTCTTCTATATATATATCTGTACTGTTGTCTGCCCACTTATAAGATGCACAGACAGTTCCAAGCTTTGTTGTTTATCTTGAGTGTGTAATTTTTGGAAAGGCTGCATAAAAAGCATTAGAAGGTAGATTTTGTTTTAGAACTTTTCAATAAAGGTGAGATATCTGGGTACTAAAACTGATGTGATTTTTATAATTCGTATCTGTATTGTTACGAGTTATAAAAATCGTATGCTCGTCTAACTGTTTATGATTTTACGGTACAAATACGACTCCGGATGAGGTGGTTGGGGTCGTGTTGGAGCCATTTAGAAGTAAAAATGTCAAAATAACTTGTGGTTATGTGACCCTTAGCAGTATATAGTCCCCTTGAAACTAGCCTGCCTAGAACGTCGAAGACTTTCAAATATAGAGTAAAATTTAGAGATACTGTTCCTCTGACTTTTTCCGTCGTCTAGTGGGGTAGGAAATTTGGTTATAGGGTCCAAATCCCTCGTTTGAAACTGAAATTTTATCAATTTTAGAGTCTAGATGACCTAACTTTATCAATAATGTACTTTAATTACTGCAAATTACTTAATTTTAATTACCGAGTTTGAAAATTAGAAGCTATAATTTAAACGGCTTCAAAATAAATTGTGATATTTCTAAAGAAATTATTTTCCGTGTGAAATTTGTTAGTTTTATTATAGCATATAGTAATAGAATTAGTGTGATGATACTCTCTGATATTTATCTATACATTTTCATATAATATTTTAAGTATAAATTTTATGAATACTTTTTTGGATTCTTTTTGGGAATAATGAATTAGAAAGTGACCGTGACATATAATAGATAGAATATAATTGCTATTGCTCTGGTAATCTTGTAATACTGATAAAGGAAAATCATAAAACTGAGAATAAACAGCAAATATCAAGTAAGAAAGGAAAGTAAAATGTGATTTCTTAATTTGTTGAGTCAAAGTAGAAATAGAAGTAAAATAATGCAGATTCTGAGAGAAAGAGAATGCTAATTTATATAATTCCAACTGTTTATTCCAACAAAATCATTTTATTGTAAAATATTGAGAGACCTTTTAATCCAATTTACATATTTGTAAGCAAGGAAGAGCCTTAAAAGAAAGGTCAACTCTGCTCGTGTCAGATGCGTGTTCCTGTGATTGTGTAGGATGTATGAAGACATCAAGATTTTATTTGTAGCCTATTTAGTGTTCACTATTTTATAAAGAAATCATTTTAGCCTAATTAAAATAATTTTCTAAATTAAATTTATTATGCTAGTAATGAAATCAATGGAAGTTTCATAAGCAGTTAAATACTGTGTTTATATATAATTAAAAGTTTAATTTAATGTAAAAATATATTTAATTATCTACTTAAATTAATTTTTAATTAGTTTAGAAAATTAAATATGTAAAAAGTTAGGATCATAAATGACTAAGAATTAAATAAAGCAAAGCTGTTTTAAATTTTAAACACTTGTAACAGGAAATTTCATATTGCGATATAATGTTTTCGTAAGCACTTTAATTTTCTAGTAAATCCACGATTTTATAACTTCATATTAATTCATTTAGAAATTTGTAGTATTTCCATTCTAATTCTTGGTACTTTTCGGTATATGTATCAGAATTAAATTTATAAATATAGACTAGAAAACATCTCTAAAATGAAAAGCAATAACTTTGGTTTTTTTGGTTATGTCTTCAGTTTTATTGTCTTTCATCTTTATTTCATATAACACAATTTTCTAGCAAATGATTAATTTGATATTGTATGGAATAAGAGTATGAATAATGATTTAATGAAATAATTTAGCTCAATCCCTAAAGAAAGTTAATTCTGTATCATGCATTAAGACTCTAGACTTCATAACAGGAATGATTTGCATGACAGATCATGAGTATATATTAAATGAAATTCCTTGTAGTGTAATTGTTGATTTAAAATTTAGGCATCACTTATTCTAGAGAATTCATTAACTTTATTATATGTAAAGACAACATGTAGTTTATTCTCTGTAACGAACCTCATCAATCAAAATTTGGTTGGAAACAATTGAATTACAATTTAAGAACATACCAATATAAATGTTATTAATTAAGGATACAATAATTGAGATCATAGGGTTGATTACACTAATTAATGTTACAGTGTGCTGCAGTATACTGTTTTAGTATGGTTGCAAAATACTAAATTTGAAGCTAAAGCAGAAGTGTTGATCTCAACTAGAACAATGTTTGTAATTAGATTCAGAGAATTAGCTCATTAAAAGCCAATGGTATAGTAATTTTGTTTTGTTAATAATATAATTTGACTTTTGTTATAGTCCAATGTTTGCAGTAATGAAGTTTTTCTGAATTACAAAGTATTACTCAGACATAACTAATAATACAGTTAATTTAACTTGAATGCGCAAAAACATTTATATTCTTTCTTCTTTCCAAGAAATAGATGGAAAATATGGTAATGGCATTTCTTATCAGCAATTTTCTTTGAACCACAAATACAAATTGAAATGCTTGACTTACCTGAAAATGAGTTTCATTGAAGAAGCAGCAATTCTAAGTTTACCAGGCATATTTAGAGAAGTTTTAGATGCTAACACCTCATAACCTAAATTTCTTACCATTAACTTAAAAATGTTTTGGAAAAGTTGAATTAGTGCTTAGCCTTGGCACATACTCTAACTTACTCCAAGGTTAACTTGTGTACAAGAAGCAAATCCTGTTTATAATAATAATCATCTTATTTACAATATATTGTTTCTCATTTCTTTAATTTTGATAAACAATTCTGTATTCTGATAGTTTATGAGAGAGCTTTTTTTTCTAGAAGTCTTATCTCTGTTTGAATTAGATAAGTTTTCATAAAGCTAATTCTCAAAAATAGCTGATATTGATTTTTGATGTAGTTGCCAGAAAATTGATTCAAGTTTATGAAGAAATATATGAAATATTTTAATTTGTAAAAATCTGAGGTATTCTGTTTAGAAGAGCTGTTATAGATCTCTAATTTTCTAAAAAGAGAATTACATGTAATGACTTTAAATACTTGTACCAATAATTAAAGTTTGTGTAATGATGTAAGAAATACATGAGCTAGTTTTTGTAATTTGTCCTTCTTTAATTCTAGTCCTTGATGTAACAAAGCAGTTATATTTTATTAATATTATAAGTAATGTTTTATGGAAAATGTTTACACTTTATTTACTACAAGTTGTTTAAAGCAGAGATAGTGTTTTATATACAGTAGAGCATCGATTATCCGACTCAATTGGGGACTGGGGTTGGTCGGATAACCGAAAAGTATGAAAAAATACATTATTAGTATAGTATATTATTATATCTAATGTAATTAGTATATCGCTATTAACCTACTTCTCATTGAATTTTCATCAGTGTTAAGCCTAACAAAATTGTTTAAAATAATAATCATCGCTATTGTGTCGTTAAAAATTATTTTTAAATTATTTTATTGCTCACAAAACAAACCACCACTCATAATTAGAAAATTAAGCCTTATTTAAATATTGGCATCCCTTTTGTGGGGATGCCAGCTAAAACACCAAAAATTTAACGAAAATAATATTAAAGTAGCCAAGACACAGCCAAATATTATAGCGCCGCATCACCAGCGGACATTTGAATTTGCCGACTAGAACGTGGTCAGTTAACCGATGTGACGGTTGATCGGGGATCGGATAATCGATGCTCTACTGTATATACTAGATCAAAGTGACAGGTAAATTTAAAGTTTTTATAAAATAAAACTACTTTTCTAATATCGTTTAGTTGAATTTTTCAATTCTGTTCTAATATTATTTAATATAATTAAAATGCCATTAGAATATTTAGAAATTTACATATAAAAGTAAAATGAAGACAATGCAACAAAGCATTTTTAAATTTGTCATTTTTTAAATATTAATGTGACAGGAAAATTTACATTTTACTGTTTAAAAAGCTGTGAAATGTCAAACACTGCTGTAATTTTCAGTTGAATACATTCAATAGTAGTATCTTTTGTATGATAAATATATTTTGAAAACAATATAATTTATTTTGAAAGTATATTATCATACATAAATATACAATGTATGGTATCAAATATCAATGTATATAAATATAAATTGCAAAAATATTCTACTTACACATCTAATGCATGTAAGATGTTCATGCAGTGAATTCACTTTTTGGATATTATCAATTTTAATGTTAGAATTAGCAAGTCCACAAATATAAGTTAAAATACACTTAAAGGTGAAATTGTGATTACAATAAACAATAGTTTTAACATCATTTCCTTCAGATAAACAGGCAGAAAGATTTTTCGTGCTGTTTACACTCACTGCATAGTCTTGTATTTTCGTATGAAATGTAGAATCTCTGCTGTTAAGTGTTTTTAAATAGTGATGTTGATACTATTTAATTCAGGTCGAAGGTACGTTTAAGTAATAATGTAAGGAAATCTCTCTTAATGCCAAATGAAATCTTTCATTTTTATAGTACATGTACAAAACTGGCATTTTGTTTTTTATATATATCCCAAATTTTTATATAAATAAATAATAGAAATTATGTGTAGCTGGTTTGCAAAGTGATTTATGCAGTTACTAATATTGATCAATAACTTCATAGATTTTTTTTTACTGTATGGCTTTATGTATACAGATTAGTTTAAGTTGACAAGTGTTTACTTACTGTAAAAGTAGAAAAGAAATTATTGCATTAATATTTCAATATATTATGACCGGAAATATTTTAGACAATGATACTGATAGTAAAGATAACCAAACTGGTAGCTAACGTAATGCTAACGATCATTGTGGAGGATCCAAAAAATAAATTATGGCATGATGCCAAAGTAGAGGGAAGATAGCAATTTTTATAAAATAAACGGTAATAAAATAATGTTATGGATAAAAAAAATTTTTAAAAATGAATTTATTATTAAATAAATTATGTATTTAGATAGATTTTTTTAAAAGTAAGTATGCAAGCGTAAGTGTAGAATAATGCACTTATTTAGATTGTGTTAATAATTAGTAAATTTAAAAATGTTAATGACTAAATAAAGATTAGATTTGCAAATTTACTTTTAAAACAGATGTTCTGAAGTGTTGCTTTTATACTTCAAAGTTCAATCGTAATCAGTCTTCTCCCAACAAGTTTAGGTACTTGATGTAAAATGTTGGCCTACTGATACT